AGCAACAGAAACTCAAAAGCTATTTTAGTGGGAGTGTGAATTAGTGTATCTATATTGGAAAACAGTTCATTGTTATCTAGTGAATTTGAATATATACAAACCCTAAGATCCAGCAATTCTACTCCCAAGACACTAATCCAAGGAAAGCTATACCTACTCAGATCAATAAGAGCTATATTCAAAGCATCATCTGTAATAGCAAAACAAAACAAAACAAAAAACAGACAAAAAAACTGGGAACAACTCAAATGATTCATTAAAGTTGAATAGCATTCAACATGGAAGACTCAACAAAATTGGGAGAGAAACTCATTGATACTGTGTAATATCATTTATATCAAGTTCAAAAATGCAATTTAAAGCACTATTTTATACATGTGTGGCAAAACAATGAATAAAACCATGGGAATGGAAAACTCAAAATTCAGGGTTCCATTTATTCCCTAGTAAAAGGTAGAGGCAAAGAAATCTACTCTGATAGGAACAACTAAGGAGATTTATTTATTTCTAAGCTTGATAAAGGATATACAGATACTTTTTAAAAAAATTTGTTCCCAATATTTCACGTATGTCATATCTATTTTGTAATGAAGCAAGCAAGCATTGCATAATAATGAAAACAAGACAAAACCAAAATTTTACTGTGTTACCAATTTTCTATTATCATGAAACAGTTAACTCAAGGTTATTCTTTTCTAAAAAAGAAATGTGAATTTTGCGGACTAACTTCTCAACTGACTCTCTTTCTTTGCCAGTCACCCGTCATGTCACCTTTTCCAGTGACTGAGGGCCAACTAGCTTCCAGTGTTTCATTTAGGCAGAAGGCAGTGAGGATTAGTGTCAGCGCAGAGGACGAAGGAGTGTTGGGAGGTGGTGACGTAGTTGGTGTAGGGTCATTTGAGTCCCCCATCCTAAGGAGAACAAGCATTTTCTTTGGCATAGGACAGAAGTGGTCAGATTCCTCCCTGTCACTCAGCAAGGGATTTCACCACTGATCTCATGTTCTCCCAGTCATCTGGACTTGCAGGAACAGTGTGTAGTGGTTTTGTGGTGGGAAGCTATCGCTACCTAATTTTTTAGTTCTTGAATGTCACTTTGAAGTGTCATGATTGCAAGGCTTGGAAGAAGACAAACACTCTGTCCATTATGAATATAAATGGACAGTTGAGATGAAACCACCTAGTTAATTTCCCCTTGCTGCTGGAGTAGAATCTGAATCCAAACCACAGCACACCCTAGCCCCTAAATCTCTATTAAAAACTACCTTGGGTAGTCTGGCAAAGCTTTATTTAAAGTCAGCAGAGAAGTATAAAGTCAAAAGTGAAAAATTGTACAACAAGAAGGAATCATAAAAAAATACTAGATCAGTTAAATGTAGTCAAAGGCAATTTAGTGTGTTCTGGCACCAGTCCCTATTGATGCAAAGAAAGTGATGTGTCAGGGGTCGGCAAGAGCATGTAGGAAGTGCAGAGTGACAGTTGCAGCTCCCAGCGTGGCTCTGGAGCCCCTATACAAGGCAGTGACGAATGCATCACTGTCTTGCTTTTTGCACCAGGAATTTCAGGGAGCACATCCTAATTCTCCCAGTCTGGGCATCTGTTCACTTTTTCTTAATGTAGTATATTTTTAAAATTAGAAGTTTTTCTCTCATGGAGATAAGCTAACCTGGAGGCTTGCATATGGGTCAGACCAAGAAGGTAGGTATGCCTCACTAGTACTTTTTAATATCATAGTATCATTTCTTTTGAGGCTACCACACTAATCTGCCTCTTCATATCCACATTCCAGTTTGTAATTGTTTCTGCCTCATCTTCTAGGACTCCTTCAGCCAGTATTAGCTAATCAGATTAGTAATAACCATAACTATGATTGTTATGCCCCTGCCATGTTCTAGGCATTGTGCTAGTGCCTTTGTAGGCATTATCTCATCATGCCTTACAGAAACCCTGTGAAGTAGGTCTTAGAGTCCTACTGAGTTTACAGATGCTGACAATAAAGGCTCAGAGACTGAGAACTCATTTAAGGTGGCACACTGAGTAGCAGAAGCAGGACTCGCTGGGCCTGACTCCTAGGCAGGTGCTTCGCTAAAAGGGTTGCTTCTCTAGCTTCATCAGCAGGGGTAGGTGAGGACTAATACTGCAAGAGAATGTAGTTGAGGTATAAGATAGTATTACAAGTGTGAGACTGAGACCTGTGTCTGAATCCTGGCTTTGCTACTTACTGGCTTTGTGACCTTGGGCAAGATACTTGACCACTCTGTGTCTGACTCTCTGTAAAGTGGGTATAATAGTAACTCCTACCTTGGTAGGGTTGTTGTAAAGATTGTATGAGTTGATATAAGCAGTGTTTCAAAGCGTCCCTGGTCCATACTAAGTACTGTGTTCATGTTGTTACTCCCACTTCTGTTATTATCATTATTGTTGCTGTTGTTGATATGTCTTCTGGAGATAAGATCCATTCACTAAGGGTAGTTACAGATGGGACTGGCTAAAGGGGAGGTAAAGGGCCAGCCCCTGTGGCTGGTTAGCTGGGGTGGCACATCTTAGGCAAGGCACTTAGTACCCTTCCAATCCTGCCATGCTTGGGGCCATGTCCACTTTTGATAAACCCATTTGTCACAAATGGAGCAGTTTTAGGAGGTCAAATAAGGGAACTGTATTCTCTGGGTACTTCCACATTCAAAATCAAATTCTGGGGTATCTGCTTTTCCCTTGTACCCACTTATGTCCAGGAGAAAAGGAAAATGGTTTGGAGACTTCCTTAAGTTCTAGTAGGTCTTATCAGAGTCTTAGTTGTAGATTTAGGACGAGTGATTGGTTTAATGTAAATGCTTTAGAGGATCTGAAAGAGATTAGAGAAACCTATTCCAGAGGATAAAGGTGGGACAGGAGGGAATCATTAATCTCATGGACATTCAATTCCCCAAGAACTTTTTTGGGAATGACCAGAAACAAGCCAGGCCATATGCTGTCCATTTGCAACTCTGAGCTGCAGACTTTTTTTTTCTTTGACAGATCGAGGCCAATGCCGTTGCCTCACTTAAGATGGTTCTTAAACTTGAAAAGGAACTGAAAGGTTGAGACATGCATGCAGAGTCAACACAGATGAACTGATGAAAGTAGTTCTGACAAACACCAGGGCTCTCCCGATTGTCAGAAATAGTCTGATGATGACACATTCGAAGCTTCCCAGACTGGCTGGCGTTTTGGCAAATAGGAACAATCAGGAAAGATATAGTTATGCTGTGGAGAGTTCTGAGATGTGGAGAGAACAAGTTAATTGTTCAGCCTCAACTGAGACCTTTCACTCAAGTCATTAATCATGGCACACAGTCTGCAGCGTTGGACGTTGCTCGATTCTTTAGCCTGCTCTCCTGCTCCAGATGAAGGCTCATTCCAGGTGCTGGCCATTTGCGTTTCCCTCCAACTGGGCTGATTTATGAACCCAGAGATATTTCTTGTTTTTTTCCAAATTCTTTTCCATTACTTTGTAATAAAGGAGACATGTGATTTCTGGGGGTTTTTTTGTGGGTTTTTTTTTTTGTTTTTTTTTTTGCAGAGCCTCAGTTTTAACATTCTTAATACCAAAGATTTTTTCAATTAGTCTGTGGTTTGCCTTCTGTGATCTGGAGGGTAGAAATTTTGTTCTGTTTCAAGTATCGAAGTTGAGACATTAGAGACTCTCTTATTTCTTTTCCTATTGGCTGGAGTTGAAGAAGCAGAAGTCTGTACAAGGCTTAGGGCCTGCATTCATCATCTCAGGGCAAATTAAAGCTTGGGAAACCTTAGTGAGAACGGCTCGCCACAGGTGTTAGAGTTATCCTTACCCCAACCCTGACCCCTGACGCATATGGTTCAGGGTGTACTATCAGCAGGCCTACCTTTGGGCCAGGTCTCCAATAACAGTGTAAGCCAATACTGAAGACTGCACAAGAGAATCTGAGTGTCAGAGGAGGATATTGTCATATCACGGTTGAACAGGGTGCGGTTTGACCGAAAGGTAAGCCTGATCTGAGCTGTTAAGGGGCAACAGATCCCTTGGGAGTTTTCCCAAGTGGCAGAAATGTGTCACAGGAAAGTAATTGGAAATTGATATTTGACGTATCTCTGGGTTAGTTGTTGTTCCTGATAACACCAAAGGGTTTGGCCAAAAGTCGCTGGTAATTAATAGGTGAAATCCTGCAATCCACTGCTGAAATATAATCTCTTCTTTGTTGAAAGTAAGCAGCTGCTTTCTGATCCTCTGCTTCCTAACTAGTACATCAGGTATAGAAACCCATGGGCTTAATTTGGGTGAAAACACCTAACCCTGCCTTTTGAGAATCCTCTGAAACAAAAATCGTCATTGGCAATGGAATTCTGTCTTTAAAATTCAACTCAGCTTAACAGATACTTGTTCAGAGCTTGTTCTGGGCTTCATGTTGTGTTGTGTGTCCTGGGAAATACAAAGTAAATACTGAATATGACTTTTGCCATTGAGGAACTTATAGGCTCATAGGAAGGATGATGTGTTTATGAAACACATTTTACATGGCAAGATAAGATATCAAGTATGTGTCAGAGTGAGTGGAACCTGGAATAAGTTTAGCAGGGAGGCAGAAAAATGAGAGCAGACTGCAACTGGAGTTGTCAGGGAATGCTTTTTATAGATGAGGTGGGACACAGACCAATATCCCAAACTCAGAGCTCTCCCTTAAAGAGTTTGCAAGAAGCACAGTATTAGGTTACCATAAGATTATGGAGCCCCCTCTAAGTGGAAGTAGATTTGTTCAATATGAGAATGGATTAATTTAGTCCAATAAATATTTATTGAGTACCTCTATGTGCCAACGACTATCTGATGAGGTAAGGGAAGAATATCCCATACAAAGACCCCATGTGGGTCATTCTCAGATGCTACCTTCTCTTAATGTTGATAATTAAAGTTATTGTTTGTCTGTGTGATTCCAAAAGCTGGGAGCTGGACCATTTGCCATTTCTTTCTTAGAAAGACCTTTCCATGTTTACTGCAGCTGCACATACACTGACGTGGATGAGGCAGAGAAGATTAGCACGGCTCCTGTACAAGGATGGCATGCAAACTCATGGAGTACTCTATATTTTTAAAAAAGACCTCCTTATCTGAGATATCTGTGGATTGAAGAGCTGAGTCTAATTTTTGTGTGCTGGAGGGATGACCTGTCCAACCGTATAAATTATATACAGATTAAAGAGTTTCATGCATGCTGATTGTAAAAGGAAGGGACACTGAGTCAGCATTGAATGGAGTCCCAGATTATTGGGTTAGAGAGTATGTGGAATGACATTTGAAAAATCTGGACCTGGCCACAACTCAGAGCTGTAAGTGGAACCCAAGATCAAGTTCCTCTTGGGTTTTTCCATTATTTCCCTTGACAGCTGCTTTGGCAACCCAATTAGAAGGATCTCGCATCATTAGAGTTTGAGACAGTCTTTCACTGGGCATTTTGGCGCTTGTGAAGTTTGAAATTGGCACCACCCAGATATATTACTTAAGTCACTAAAAATTCTATTTGTATCCCTCCTCACAAAGTGAAGAAATCCATTATTTGTTCCTTCTGAAGTACAGGTGTAACTGGGAAATTGCAAATTGGTCTAGAAAGAAAAAAAGTCAGGATGATAATGGTGGTGGCAGTGGTGGTCATCACAGACATGGTAGTCATTACTCCAAATACCCACATAATTTTTAAATAACATAACCACAGAACACTGATAAACCCTGGAAAGAATCTAAGATACCTAGCACTGAGGTACAGAGGTGTCAGAGTTTATTTAGCTAAGCAATTCCAGAGCAAGACTAGAAAATCTGCTTCTCTAGCTTGCAGTCATTCTCATACCACAAGGAGACTCCTGCTGAGTAACCCCTGCATTTCTGCCACCCCTGTGACTGCTTTTCTGAAGCTAATTTAAGTATCAAATTGAAATGGAGTTCTGAAAAAACTTTTTTTTTTTTATTCTGGAGAGACTGGTGGAAGGAAAAGCTAGAAGAAACTTGAAATCATTCTTGATTCCTGTCATTTTCCTTAGTGTTCAGTCACTCTCTTCATCTGAAGTGCTCATCTCGGCTTCCCTGGGCGCATATGTGCTCGCTCTCTCGCTCATCTGTATGCGTGTGTGTACTGATATGCATTCCTCTGCATCATCTGTAGGCATTTTACAACTAATGGCTTGTGCGTGTGTTTTATCATCTTATATTTTAAATGACAATGACAACTTAAAAATTTTTGCAGTAATAGTTATCCTATGGTAAAGAAATTCCAACATGTAGGCCAGGGTCATCTTTGGGTTACAAAATTCCACGAAGGAGTTGGCACGGGGGACATGGCTCTGGAATCTCGTCCTTTCACCCTGCAGCAGATGGACAGAGTTGGTAACAAAGAAGTTCAGTTAGTGGAGAACTAGTGAAATAAAGAGTCAGATGAGAAAGGTAGAACAACATTTGCTTAGAGAGTGTAAGCAAAACATTTGGCAGGGTGGAGACAGAGACAAGAGGCGAACGGCTACCCTCTCTCCCCCTTCCAGCCTCCTTCCCCTCTGTGCGTCGTTACTGGGCTGGGGCGGGGTTGAGAGTACAAAAAGAACTTGGACTTTTTTATTATAATTTGGTTGTTGCTGAAGCTGTCTTGGAAGCCTTATTTTTCTTTGAACAGAGCCACGGGAATTTTATAGAGCTAGCGGGGCCAGAGTGGAGCTTAAAAAGGAAGAGATAGACCATTTAGAACTGATCCTCACTCTGGCTTTAATGATGAGAAAGTACTACAAGATTTCTATAAACCAAGGTGGTAGTAACAAGACCAAAATCCGGTCCAGGCTCCACTTCTCAAGCTGTGTGTCTGTTTGGTGTATCTACCCCATGGGGGGCCTTTTTCTAATTCATCCAAAGCACTATCTAGAACAGGGTATCCCCTGAATATGGGACTTTTAAGCCTCCTTCTAGGTTGATCAGGCCTATTCCTGTACCTAGGAAAGGAAGCAGGGAATTCAGAGCTGAAATTCCTGAGAAAATCACTCTTTGAAGTGTTCTTTTTGAGTAGCTGATCATGAACATGGAGAAAACCTTGTAGCTTATGGAGCATATCAGCCACAGTGACCACCCTCTCCAGCGGCAGGGTAAGGGAAGTGACTCTTTGATCTCACACTCTTGAAGAGGGATACACAAAGCCCAGGCTGTGGGGACCCACAGTTCCAAATTTTCTCATCTCCATTCTCCCATCAGGAAGGCTACGAGCAAACCTGGCCTTTGTGGTTTCTTCTTTCCTTGTCTGCAAACTCTTTTTAATTATTGTGCAGGTCCTTGTGCTCGGTGCCAAGGGGGTATGAGGCCTCTGGAAGAACCCTTTGTCTTTGAGAAGCTAGAGGCTGTTGTGAAAACAGCAAAGACAAGCATGATCACACTAATTCAAGTGTGTACAAACGTAGTTGACAAAAGCCAGGGGACTGTGAAAAATCAGAGACTGCTGTCACATATGGAGAGGTCCTCCCACTTTACCTCAGTGGCTATTTCTTCTTATTGAGGAATGAAAACAGTAAATGGCCTAAAGCAAGCTAAAAGCGAATCCCCTGACTTTATCATTTAATGGCTGCAATACTTAGTGGGAGTATCAGTAAAGGCCCTGCAGTCCTCGTAGGAGAAATGTCCGCAATGAGGCAACAGGATGTTCATTCACCTGCTTTCAGTTGTTTCAGAAATAACATGATTTATAAAAGAATGCAGAATCAAAATTGTCAGCCAAGATGTCATTCTAACTTTAGGATGTCCAGAAACAAAGGGATATTATATCCTTTGTTCTTGGAGCGCCACAGATGCCAAATTATGCACAGGGTTCCCCCATGGCACTACGTGCTTGTGAGCCTACAGGCAACCAGACACTCATTTCAGAAAGATTTTGCCTCTGGTGTGTTCTTGGCTGAGTATCTCCCTGGAGCTGGAGGAGGAGGCATGACCCGCCTGGCATCCCTGCATCCTGATAGAGTGGAGGACAGCAAAAGGGGTGGCCGTCTTAAGAATGGCTGGCGGCTTGGGGTAAATTGCCATCAGCCTCCATCCAGGCAGCTTGACAGAAGTACCATTAAAGCGCTGGAGAAATAATTCATTACTTTTGGTTTTGTCTGCACATCAACATATGCCAACACATGCTTTGTTCAGCACATGCATATTTGATTAATATAAATCAGGCATCTGGAATGGAGAGTAGTGGAATTTTGGGGTTTGAGTTGGACTTAAATATCCATTCTAACCACAGCTATCTGGATGCACATAGTAGGTATTGAAAATATTTTTTGATCAGATTTTCTTTGATTTGAATAACTTGGTTACTTGCTTTTGAGCCCAGATGTTTGGCATTCAGCCAGAGTTGTGTGCTCTGCCTCCTGTCATCAGCCTCACCACCATGGAGATGGCTGGCAAGGCGCAACATTCCTCCTGTCCCTACGGTGAGGTCTCCTCTCACCTCTCTCACCCCACACATTCTGGCTCACGTGACTGTAGGCCATGGAACATGCGGCAGGTGGCCCATGGAGCCTGCTAGCTGCAGAAACTGTTTTCCCCACGTCCACTTCCCCTAGTGTCACAGTGACTGTATCTTGTGACAGAGAACCTCAGTGTCTCCACAGACAGACCACAGAAGAGCTGGTGACAGGTACTTTAGCAGACCTTCATTCGTCCGTCCCATTGGTCGTTGCAAAAGTATTGCGTAAAGGCCTGCTAGTTCACAGCACTGACTTGAAACCTGAGGAAGAAATATGAGAAAACCTGTGAGTAGGGGAGGAAGAAGGTTAAAATGTGAGTGGGAATATGTGACATTTGTTAACTCCTATGAAACAATGACAGGACAGGGTATGCACAGCAGAGGAAAGGAGATACTAGACAACAGAGTGGGTACATAGCACACTAGACCCAAGCCTGCACCTCAGATCTGCCTCATAACACCAGCACATGGCTTTAAGGCCCTCTGTAAAATAAAGTGAATATCCCAGGATATTCTTCAGGACCATCCTTCTGTGACACTTGGATCAGAGATTATGAGATTCTCATTCTCCCATAATTTAATACCCTCCAAATACCTAGAACTTACTACATAATCAAGTCGACTTCTGATATTCTAAGGACTCTAGGAATGCAAAGTATTGAGAAAAGATACAGACTATGCCTTGCTATCTTGGTAAGAAGACAGCAACATTTGAAGGTTTGTGAAAATCCATTTTGAATAAAAATATAAAGCTTTGTTGTTGTTGGGAGTGGAGCTCTTGTTCCCCATGAAATAGCAGCAAGTTTTATCTTTCTTATGGATCATGACCTTGGTTCAGTTCTTGCTTTGCACAGTGTTGGTATGACAGCCTTCTGAGTAGGTACCAGGAGATCTTTACTAACAGTGTTAAAAGAGGTTTTTCTTCAGCCTGGGAGCTATATTTGTATCGGTAGTTGAGAAACTAGAGACAGGACAACTAATCCGTAGTCGAACCCGGCAAGTAGTGTAGGTGAAAGTTGCTGTCTGACTGAAAGATGGATTCTCTATTCGGTTTTTCCCATCTCTTTAGAACCCTTGCAGGTAGATCAAGTAGGTTCCTTATATTCAGGGCAAAGTACAGAAGTCTCTAGAAACCTCTCATTTCTGTGTGGTGATTTATAGCTTTCTGAGAGGTTTATAACCCTTTTTAACCAAGTTATTTAATCCCCACAGTAAGTAATCCTTTGAGGTCGGTATTCTATCCCTGTATTATGATAATCCTTTGAAGTCAGTGTTAAATCCCTAAACGACACGAGGTGATTGCGGTATGAATGTGACCATGTGGTGAGCTGTGTCTCCCAGGACATGGTCAATGGCTGCGGGGACAGCTCCCACCCTGAAGCACTCGGCGCCCTCTCTCTGCAATCAGACTGACTCTGTACGTCAAGGCATTCCTGACTGTGGTGCTCCTTTTTAAAAACCCAGATGCCCTTCAGGATGGAGTCTATCAAGCTTACTGTCACTTAAATAAGTGCCTTAGTGAATTTTTGACAATCATTTCATCTCTGTCCATATAGTTGGACATAGAATGCTAACATGTTAAAATTAGGGTAAAACGAAGGGGGGCAAGGATAGATTT